CCAATTAATGTCAGCAGAGAATTTGGCTCACAGCAACCCTCAGTTTAGACACCAGCGTGCTGTTTGTTGAGCTACTCTCATCTTTGGCCAGCATGGGAAAAGACAAGAAAACCGAACTTCATAGCACTGTCTACATGGTGCTTAGGTTAGTGCAATGATGTTGCTCAGGGGTGTGAACATTTCACACTCCTGAGTGATGTAGTTATACCAACAGGGATCTGTAGCATAGGTCTGGTGAAGGCGTATCAAGGGAAAAGGGGACTGAGGCAATTAAAGATAGAGTGTATGGGAATAACAAGGGTTAAATAAGAAGGATGGGCCAGTAGCTGAAGTACTGGAATGGGAGCCCTCAGTCCAGCTCCCTGCTTTACTACAGACATCCTGCGTGACCTCGGGCAAATAAATTTGAGTAACTGAGGAACACAAAGAATTTCTGAGTTATGGAAATAATTGCACTTCCTCTCCTCACAGGAGCGTTGCAAGGATTAAAGGTTGTGAGGTGCTAAGTTACTGCAGTGATGGAATTGACAGAAGTACCATGGACAGACAGATGATCTGCCTGCACACCCTTGGAGGTCCTCCAGGACCCGTGGGGTATGTCTAGACTACATGGCTCCATCGACAGAGCCATGTAGATGAGTTTACTAGACATAGGGAAATGAAGCAGCAATTTAAATAATCACCGCTTCATTTACACCAAAATGGCCACCGCGCTGTGCCGATCAGCTGTTTGGCGCCACAGCGGGGCTGTCTGGATGTGCCGCGGTCAACAAGGTAAGCCTTTGTCAACTGCTCTGGTAAACCTCATTTCATTTCATTGTCGACCGCGGTGTATACAGACTGCCCCACTGTGCTGCCAAACAGCTGATCAGCACAGCGCAGCGGCCATTTTGATGTAAATGAAGTGGCAATTATTTAAATCTCTGCTCCATTTTCCTATGTCTAGTAAACTCATCTACATGGCTCCATCTGCTCCAGGTAAGGTTCTGGATAACAGGAACAATTAAGCTATTACACTGATTTACTCAATACTGTTCTGTGGTAATCACTTTCAAAGACGGTAACTTTTGATAAATCTCTCATCCTAAAATCACAACTCAAGTAACAGGGAAGATGGCCCTCCAGGGCCTAATTCTGCAAACCCTTCCTCACTTGTGAAACCCTTGCAAACTAATGCAAATAGTCTGAGTGGCCTTGAGTAGATGGGGAAGGATTGCCTTCCCAAGTAAGGCTGTGGGACTGGGCCTCTTGTTCTAAGGATTCTGCTCAGATGTTCCACATTTAAAACGTGGAGCTGGTCGCCCACAGAGAAAAAGACCCTGCTAACTGTGGCAGTGTGCAGATTCCCTGCAATAGCTTACCTGGTGCTCAGAGCAATCAGAAGCAGCAGGAAAGGAAAGATGAAGAGATGACAGAATGGACAGGAATGGATTCACATCACAGAGAAACACATCACAAATGGAGAGAAATGAATCAGGCAGGCGATGCGTGGCTGAAAAGAACCACAAGTTACCATGGTTACTGTCAAAACTCAACACAACAGCAAAATCCTAAACAGCGTTGCCACTTCCTATGGAATTATTTTTGCATGTCATCAAAGTAAAGTCTCCACCTTTTTACATTCAAATTCCCATAACACTTTTTTTTGTACTGTATAAATCAACCTAAATAAGAACTCACATTTCTCTTAACAATTCATATTTTACATAATCCCTTAGGGGCTTTTCAACCGTCTGTTCAACTCATGCTAGCTGGCTCAAATTAGAATCAAAATGTGATAATATCATTAAGGCTAATGTTTGAAATCAACTTCATGTTACACAGGTTTAAAAGGAAGGCACTGAACATCTCAGGTCAAGCTTCAATTATGAAAGGTTACAAGAATCTGTTTACATAGTTTACAAGCTACAGAGGGTACATAATCAGCATTGTCACAGATTTCGGTGTGTGAGTTGTTAAGCGGCAGAGAGTAAGGCTATGTCTATACTGCAGCGCTATTTCGGAATACCGGAGGTATCCTGAAATAGCTATTCCACATCTTTTGAATGCGCCCATTATTTCAAAATATAATGGGCTCACTATTCCGACATCCCTGTAAATCTAATTCCACAAGGAGTAAGGGACGTTTTGGAATAGAGATTTATTTCAAAATAAGTGCTGTGTAGACAGCACCAAATTTCGAAATAAGCTATTTCGAAATAACATCGAAATAAGATACGCAGTTTGTGTAGCTCAAATTGCTATCTTATTTCGACCTATGGTGCAGTGTAGACGCACCTTAAGTGTTCTCTGGAACGCCACCGATAGAGTGTATGGAGTCAGAATCAGTAGCAGTGAAGCAGATAGGTACATGGATGGTGTGATATGGACGAGCAGTTTGCTTAAGTTAGAATCAAAATAAGATCATATCTTTCTACTGCCTGAGCTCAGCCAGTCCGGTAGAGATTTGGGACTAGAGAAAATACAGTTCCACTCTTGACTTCTCCAAATGTCAGGTAATTTTGCAAGTCTGATACTGCCATCTGGTGGTAACTCTCTTGTGGCTACCCCTTTCCTCATAATGACAGTTCATAAGAACATAAGCAAATTTATTCAAACACATTTATTCCCTATTCCCCCTTTTCCCTCTTCTGGAAAAAAATTATCTATTTTTGAAAATAAACTGTTAGTTGCTTGTGAAAGATGTCAGACTACCAGCTGTTCTCTCTTGCAGTATAACCATAAGGCAAGGATATTGTGGGCAGCAGCTAAGCATGTGTACACATCCCAAGCCACCACTGGGCATGGAACCAATAGTGCAATGGAGCAATTGCTCCAGGAGTAAATGGTTAAGTCCATCTCTCAGCCCTTTCAGCACTTGGGCTTTCTGTAAGTACTGACACTGGTGTCAAGTATTGCCATTTGCATCAGTCAAATCTGGTCTAGGATAAAAGTGGGTTGTTACAGCCTATTAGTCATCACATGATGATCAATCCAATGTGAACAAAGCAGCATTGACTTTAACATGTGCTAGGTCATGATAAAGAATAGTCTGCCCCTACAACTTAACTGGATCAATTTAGCATGTTACAGGCTGTGACCCTTCTCTACATTACACTTTTTAAACATGCTCATTAGAATATTTCAACCAGCACATTCTACAACACACCTTTGATCCTAATGCTTTGATGGTGGAATTTATCCACAAGGGACTAGAGTGGCGTACCAAACACATTCCACTTACATATTAAACAGAATTTCAAGGACTAACAGACTTCATTTACTACCAGCCCCAGCTGAATTTCAGCTGGAGGCAAAAGAGTAAAATGGTCTGTAACCCACTATTAATTCTCATAGAACAGCTGGTAGCCCATGACCACACCACTTTACAAAACTGAAGTACGAAAGGATGTCACTTCTTCTAATCTTCAAGGTAGCCTGTGGTTCAATGTATATAATAAATCACTACCTTTGCAATACCTATGTTTCTTGTTCCACTTCTCTAATTTCTCTAAATTACAGTGACAAACATATTTAAAGTATCTGTGCTAATCAAAGATTGTTTGATCACTTTAGGAATTATTTGTGAAAGAAGCATGAAAAACATGCTGAGGAAAGTTGAACTAGACCTGAAATTAGAGCTGATTGCCCCTAATTTTTAACAGTTGTCATAGCAACATGGCTAGGGGAAATCATATAAAATAACAAGCTTTTAATTTGCATTAAATCTACATCAGGCAAATGTTTCAAAAGCTTGGAAACAGTTTAAAAATACACTTTGTGTTAAACTGTGTTTCTCTGTGCTTTAAAGACGGTGAAAGCATTTTTTCATAATAGCGTAATTTGCCTGTGGCCAAAGAAGTAAAATAACATACTGACAGCTTTTCAAAAGTACAGTGACTATGACATCTTAAAAGCTAAAACACCTCACTGGCTGTATTTATAAAAAGCAAATGAAATGCATTAAGGATCCTTCTTTCTTGCAGATTAAACAACAATGAAGAGGCCTTGGTTTTGGAGACATGTTTGGGCCAAACTGGATGCAACTCATACCCACAGCTTCTCAAGCAATAAAACATCTATTTATGGCAGGCTACACAGATCAAAAATGATCTGCCAGAATATGAGTAGAAAGGTCCAATGCAAGAACCCGGGATTGACCAACCAAATGAACTGATTTCATTGTCAGACATTGCGATTGTCATACAAAAAAAGCTAGCGGAGCTATAAATATAAAGGGAAAAAGAGGGTGTAGTAAAAATTATACTGATTTTGACACATGTTGTTATTTTTCTCTTTGTAGCACTAAATCTCTACCCCAACTTCCCCAAAATGGGGCAAGTTATTCATCCCAGTTGTTGGTCTCTGGTTCAGTGACCAGATCATAAATATGATTCTGTGCTCTGTGCCAAAAGTAGCCATCCTTTCAGAGACTACAGAAAAGACAGACTCAACAGAAACATCAAGAAAACAAACAAAGAAAAAGAGAAGATCTCTGGAAGTTTTAATATTTTAAAAGCTCTGCCTCCCTTTTCCAGACTCCCAGCTAGCTAGCAAGATGCCAGAAAGAGCTAACTCTCTGTAATTCTCTTATTAGTTCAACGTTCTTATAATAATAAAGGCTTTGTAGTCATACATAATTCACAATGATAATTAAGGATCCCCTCAACTTCTTGCAGAGACATGCCGTCATGAATAATCTGTTGGCTCATGCTGGAACCCTTTAATATAGCTCCTTGATCATTTTAGGGATGCTTTACTTTAGGGACAATAAAATGGCTTCCAAAAGAGGAAGATCAATGGGTGCTAAATTAAGGGCAGCACCAGAAATTATTCAAATCTGCCTTTTCCTCAGATTTCTTTCAATGCCAGTTCTTCTGACCAGGACATCTGATCTTTCTAGGCTTGTGAACTAGAGCTTAACACCTTCATTTTTACGATCAAACCTCTGACCTTTTCAAACACAAAAGGCAAAATAACAAAGGTTCAGTCAGGCCCATATGCAGGGGGGTTCGGAGAGTCCCTCATGGTCCTCGTTCCTGGGAGAGGGGCTAGGGAGGGAGAAATCAGCCCAAGTCTTACTCCGTCCAGCCATACCCCAAATAACAGAGACTGGATTCACAGCCAGGCCCCTGGGAGCACACGGACAGGAGCTGTTACACACCTGGTCCCTGCTCACATGCACCGTGTGCCCTCCCGCTCCGCACTCTCCCTCTTGTTGACTCCAGAGGAGAGTCAGGCTGGTGGGGGAGGCTTGCCCTCCTAGCCTCCAGGCTCAGGTAGCTCTATTCTCCTGCCTCCCTGTCATTCACCACATGCTTATTTCGAAATAAGCTATTTTGGAATACCGGTAGTTATTCCAGAATAGCATGTATACACCACAGGGAAATCTTCCCTAATGGAGATGTGCTGTCTCGATTCATAGCCCCAGGAGGCACTGGGGAGGAATAACTTAGAACGGCCCTGATGAGGGGCTATTTCAAAATAGCAGCAGTGGAGCAACTACACACAGCTTATTTCGAAATAGCTATTTCGGAATAGGTGTAATTCCTTGTAGAATGAGGTTTAGAGAATCCGGAATAGGCCTTCCATTATTTCAAAGTTATTTCAAAATAACAGAATGGCTGTGTAGATGCTCGCATTGTTGTTTTGAAATAATGCTAGTTATCTCAAAATAATGGTGCAGGGTAGACGCACCCGAAATGTGCAGCTGTGAGGGCTTGGCACATCTGTTAATCAAGATCTAGGGTCTCAAGTTAGGTATCCAGAAAATGGGGAACACGTAATTAGTGACTACATGTGAAAAGTCTAAGTGACTTGCCCAGTATCACATAGGAACTTTGTGGCAGAGGCAGGGATAGAATCCAATTCTCCTGTGTGACATTTAACTGCCTTACTCACAAGACCAACCCTTTTCTTCCTGCAATCCCCCGCCTCATTCACTAGACAACTGCCAACTTCTGCCACAAATCTGACAGAGGACCTGCATGCCACAGACTCCTTTGCTACACAAATCTGACTCATTTTCAGAGCAGGCTCATCCTGGGCAATGAATGAAGCAGGGCTTTCATGGAAAAAATAGAATGTAGCTATGCAATACAAAATATACTAAACACAGAGTATGCTTTTGTGGAGACTACAGTTAAATCACCATTCTTATTATTGCCTAATTCTAATCTCAGTTATGCTCTGGCTTTACAAATATTGCAACTGAGGTCAGATTCCAGCCCAGAGAATTTTTCAGGATATTCTTATATCACTCTACTTATGAGACCACCAGAAGCCTCCAATGGATTTATAGCCTCCCAGCTGGCTATATTCTATATCCTGTATCTTGATATTGTAATAAGCCGTTTGCAAAGGGACAGCTACTGACTGTTCATGCACTTTGCAGCATGAACATAAAAACATGTTAGCGACAGTCTTATGAAGAAGACTGGTATAATAATGGAGACCCATTTTCTATGCGTGTTTATACAGTCAGGCATTAAAACTTCAGCTAAGGTTAGTAACACTTCATATTTATATAGCACTTTATCTGTTCAAAGTGCACTACAGACATTACCTAGTGACGGCGGCATTTCAGTACTCTCCAGTTCGTACATTATTGCTCAGCAGTAAGAATGCTTGTACAAGGACTTACAAGATCGAGGGCAGCTGCCAGGATGGAGGCATCAGGAATAGTGCCTGGCTCGCAGCAGTTTAAGAGAAACTGAAAGCGTTTCATGCCTTGTCGGATTGCTCCCAGGTTCACTACATTCTTGGATTTCCCACCTTCCTGGCTGGAGGCCAAGTGATCATCAAAACTGTGGCAACCTGAGGAGGTAGAGAGTACAGAGAAGGTTTGGGGAGGGGGGGGGGAGAATGAGGAGCAGAGAGGAAATGGGGAACACAGTACCTTACAGATTAAAAAAACCAAAAAGAGTTTTTTAGGAAACCTGGCATGCATGAGCCTACCCCTTCTCTCAACTTGATATATTATCTGAGCATGTGTGACAATTTCCTGGCACCCAGTGACTAAGATGAGGTGTGAAAACGGTGAGCCTGATTCTGAACATGGCTCTGCTGGCATTAGTCCAGAATGGTTCCTTGGACGTGGATGGAGATGCTCTAGATTTACTCCAGCGTAAATGAGATTAAGAGTATGGATGGTCCAGGGTCATTTTTAAAATATGTAGTATCAAGTCTTCTGCCTGTTTGGGCTCTCAGACTCTCTCCTTTCCCCGACTTCCGGGTCAGCCTATTTAGATTATTTTCATTTATTGGTCTCTACCTTAGTTTTTCATCCTCCTTTGCCTTAAGAAAGAATAGGCATTTATCCTCGCCTATTAATTTAACAAATGTTATATTATATTTTGAGCAGGACACACAAGTAATAATTCTTGAAATGGACAAGGCAAGGATAAGGCCTAAACCTTCAAAAGTGACTAGTCGTTTTCGGGAGCCCACCGTGAGACACCTCATATCAAGGCCTGATTTTCTGAAGGAGCTCAGCATTCACCTTCTGAAAATCCTTTAAGAGGCCTCACACGTGGTGGAGGCTCCCCAAATGACTAGTCACTTTTGAAAATGAAGTCCATGAAGTCTCCTTTGAACATAGTAACTTGTTGCTTTTATGGGACAAGTCAGCTAACCACAATGCAGAGTGGAGCCAAGGTTCCCCCGAAGGAGGGAAATAGGTAAGCAGAACTCAGTAAGTGACAAAGCTGGCGTTGCTTGTGGAAGGTACATGAAAGAAATACTAGACCATCCCTGGCAGGAGCTTATTTAACCCGCTTTTCAATATCTCCAAGGATGGAGATTCCACAACCTCCCTAGGCAATGTATTCTAGTGTTTAACCACCCTGGCAGTTAAGAAGTTTTTCCTAATGTCCAACCTTAACCTCCTTTGCTACAATTTAAACCCATTGCTTCTTGTCCTATCATAAGAAGTTAAGGAGAACAATTTTTCTCCCTCCTCCTTGTAACACCCTTTTAAGTACTTACAAGCTGCTATCATGGTCAATGAGAACCTATGAGCACTTCTACCACCTCTAAGGAAATAAATCTGCAAAGCCTCAGCACCTCAGTAGAGCTGACTGAGGACTAGATGGGACTCAGAGGAGAAATCTGAAAAGTAGTTTCAAGTCTAAGATGATTGCCATTCACCACAATCAGTGTAAACTCTCCACTTCCCTTTGCAAAAGCATATGCAGAATCAAGCCAAAGTCAACTATATCCAGATTATAGGTTTTCTTGCTCTTCTTGCAAAACTATCCCAACTTCCTTTAGCTTCTATGATGAGGTAACTAACTCTGTGGATATGGAAAAGTCAGTGGATGTGATATACCTTGACTTTAGCAAAGCTTTTAATACGGCACAATATTCTTGCCAGCAAGTTAAGGGAGTATGGATTGGATAAATGGACTGTAAAATGGATAGAAAGCTGGCTAGACTGTTGGGCCCCATGGGCAGAGATCAACGGCTCGATGTCAGGGTGGCAGTCGGTATCTAGAGGAGTGCCCCAAGGTTCAGTTCTAGGACCAGTTTTGTTCAACATCTTTATTAATGACCTGGATGAGGGGATGGATTGCACTCTCAACAAGTTTGCAGATGACACTAAGCTAGGGGGAGAGGTAGATATGCTGGACGGCAGGGATAGGGTCCAGAGTGACCTAGACAGATTAGAGAATTGGGCCAAAAGAAATCTGATGAAGTTCAACAAGGACAAGTGCAGAGTCCTGCACTTGGGACAGAAAAATTCCAAGCATTGCTGGGGACCAACTGACTAAGTAGCAGCTCTGCAGAAAAGGACCTGGGGATTACATTGGATGCGAAGCTGGATGTGAGTCAACAGTGTGCCCTTGTAGCCAAGAAGGCTAATGGCATATTAGGGTGCATTAGGAGGAGCATTGCCAGCAGATCTAGGGAAGTGATTATTCCCCTTTATTCGGCTCTGGTGAGGCCACACCTGGAGTACTGTGTCTAGTTCTGGGCCCCCCACTATAGAAAGGATGTGGATGCATTGGAGAGGGTCCGGCGGAGGGCGACCAAAATGATTAGGGGGCTGGAGCACATGACCTATGAGGATAGACTGAGGGATTTGGGTTTGTTTAGTCTGCAGAAGAAAAGAGTGTGTGTGTGTGGGGGGGGATTTGATAGCAGCCTTCAACTTCCTGAAGGGAGGTTCCAAAGAGGATGGAGAAAGGCTGTTCTCAGTGGTGACTGATGGCAGAACAAGGAGCAATGGTCTCAAGTTACTGTGGGGAAGGTCTAGCTTGGCTATCAGGAAAAACTATTTGACTAGGAGGGTGGTGAAGCACTGGAATGGGTTCCCTAGGGAGGTGGTGGAGTCTCCATCCCTAGAGGTGTTTAAGTCTCAGCCTGACAAAGCCCTGGCTGGGTTGATTGAGTTGGGATTGGTCCTGCCTTGGGCAGGGGGCTGGACTTGATGACCTTCTGAGATCTCTTCCAGTTCTATGAGTCTATGATTCCTTGAATTACAGGTGTAAGGAAGAACCTTTCACTATTGAGAAATCTTACAGAATGTTCAATAATAAAGCAATTTAGAACTTCAGGCTAAGGACTCTAAAGGTACTTCTACATAGCAGTGCTGCACATCTACACAGCAAGCCATTATTTTGAAATCATGTTGAAATGGAGGATTTCTTACTCCAACTCCTGCAACCTTCATTTCACGAGGAGTAAGGGAAGCTGAAGGAAGAACACTCTTCCTTCGACTTCCTGCTGGGCAGACAGCGCCAACTGCCGAATTAAGTTATTTCAACTTCAGCTACGCAATTGACGTAGCTGAAGTTGTGTATTTTTATTCAACTTTTGCCCTGCAGTGTAGATGTGATTTCTAACACGGCTCTTAACAGACAAAGGATACCATCTTTGAAGGATGTTCTTTACTTAGGGAAAGGAGAAAAGCAGAAAACTCCAAGTCCATTAAGGGACCTTGCCATTAAGATTTACCTTGGACACACATAGGGTGTGTCTAGACTACAGGGTTTTGTCGACAAAAGTGGACTTTTGTCGACAAAACTATACCTGTGTCCACACTACCACTGAGTTCTGTCGACATAACGTCGACAGAACTCAGCAGTTTTGTCGATGCTGGTAAACCTCATTTTACGAGGCATAACGCCTTCTGTCGACAGAGTTTCTGTCAACAGAAGGTGTTATTGCATGTAAACTTTCCTTTGCGTCTACACTACCATGTCGACAAAGCAGCTTGCTTTGTCAACAGAACTCAATGTAGTCTAGACGCTCTTTGTCGACAGAAGCCTGTAGTCTAGACGTACCCATAGATAGTACAGTGACAGGCCCAGAATAGATACTACTAAGAATAGAAACTATTAAGCCCAACCATGCAAACAAAGATGACTCAAGTTTAAAACGTCTTGTAAGAATGAAATATGTGGCTATCCTATATCCAGCTAAGGTATGCAGAGCCCAACAATAAAACATTTTTATCTTGGGACAGATTTAATCCAAATGAGAAAAGAAAAGAAACAAAGAGGATGCTTGTATCAGTGAGTGACCATTCCTGCCTTTTCTTCCAATGCCTTTGTTTCCTAACTACCTGGCATTTTTAACCTAATAAAATGCCCATCCTATCACATTATCTTGTTTGGGCTATAGACAAAAACGATTTCCCATTAAACTCGTCTCACCAGTCTCTCAGAGTCATAATACGTGCTGCGCCTCTAAGCTGTACAATACAGAAATTCACTGCCCTAGTGCAAGGTGCAGGTAGGAATGCTTTAAGCCACCTTTGTGCTCTCCTAATTTTGGGCTGAGCCACAGCCATCAGTATAATTCAGACACGTCTGCGGCCCAGTTTCAGTTGTGGTCTCCTCCCTGGTCTTCTCTAAGGGTGGAAATACTGAACAGACTCTCCAAAGTCCTGCCTCTTCTGGTCCCGCCCTGGTAATGTACCTTCCAGCCCCCAGCCCTTCACCTTTCCTGGGGCTTCTGAAGGGGTCCTGGAGAGACAACTCTATGACTAGCTCATGACCTGTACAGGGGGAAATCCCCCGGGCACAAACAGGGCTTTGAGAGTCCTTCTAACTGGCATAAAAGGGTCAGGGTAGGGTGAGGATCTCATTCTTGATTTTTGGGTCTCCACGGGTCCTGGGCAAGGTGTGTGTGGGGGGGGAGGGGGGGAGGCTCCACGCTCCTGGAAGGGGCAGAGCCTCGAGCTGAAGAGGCCAGCCAGCCCTCAGTGCCACCCAGAGCAAGGCAACCCCCACCCATTGGCATGGCCCAGAGCACACGGTGCCACACTCCTGTGGCAATTTAAAGGGCCCGGGGCTCCTGCTGCTGCTGCTACAGTAGTAGTGGTGGCAGCCAAGAGCCCCAGCCCCGGACTCTTGGCCAACTTCTCTCTTTGCCCCCTCACAGAAGGGCCTGGCCTGCAGTCTTATCTCTGGGCTACATTTTGCTAGTGAGGGGGACAAGGAGAAAGAAAAGGAGGGGGACATTAACCACCAATCTGTTTTGGGTTCTTTCTATGGTCTGATCACCTAACCCAGAGGTCCCGGACCACACCACTTCCCGCAACAACCTTTGGCCGGCAATGGTGACCACAGCCAACAGGCTCCGTGATCGCCCATCCCTGCGGAGGCACAGGGAAAAGCAGCTTGCCCTTACAAGCTACAAGCCAGAGTTTGAAAAACCCGACCTACCCTACTGTTCTGGGACTTCATCCTGCTCCCACTGAAGTGAATGGAAATTTTATCATTAAGAACATAAGAACGGCCATAGTGGGTCAGACCAATGGTCCGTCCAGCCCAGTATCCGGTCTGCTGACAGTGGGCAATGCCAGGTGCCCCAGAGGGAGTGAACAGAACAGGGAATCATCCAGTGATCCCTCCCCTGTCGCCCATTTCCAGCCTCTGACAAACAGAGGCCAGGGACACCAATCCTACCCAGCCTGGCCATCTCATTCAGGTCAATGAGAGCAGGAGGAGTCGGCATTGTTATTCATCCAGAAACGGATTCCTTTCCATCCCCAAAGGCAAACAAGTTGCCAGCAGCTAATGGGGCAGATCCTCAGCTGGGTAAACTAGCACATCTCTCTTTGCTTCCATGGAGATAGTTTGATTTTCACTAGCTGAGGATTTGCTTGGTTAGTGGAAATCAGTGCCTGTCCTAAAGAGAGAGCTGCTCATCCACAGGGATGAGATGTTTGCAGCTCCTATTGGCTATGGATCACTATTCCGGGCCGTGGGAGCTCCAGGAAGAGGCACAGATCAGGGCACCACTTCCTGAAGCTCCTATTGGCTGAGAACAATGATCCACAGCCAACGGGAAATGCAACTGCCTGTTCCTGTGGAGGTGTAGATAAATATAGCGACATACCAGGGGCTAACCCTGGGGAACCAAATCTGCCCATTTCAGTACTAGGAAGAGACTGGCTTTGGTACAAGGGTTTGTCTTGCCCATTACCACTGGCAGGGGCCACAGAGACTATGAAGTTTGGTTCCCCTCTTTCCCCCCATGCTTGCCGATGATGAGATGAGCTCAACAAACAGGAAGCCAGTGTCTAAACTGAGGGCTGCCATGAGTCTCTGAGGCAAGTCATCGGCCTGAGAGTACAGGACTCACTCAGGTTAAGGAGGAGCGTTGTCACACTGGATTCTTTCTTACTGACTTAGGGTTTGGGTGGAGATGCAAAGATGTTATTTATAGCAAGCGGTGACATCTTTGATGACAAGACCCTGGTCCTGATCTCATTTACACTGGTGTGAATTAGGAGCATGGTCACTCCCTGGAAGTCAGAAATGCTTCCGTGGTGTTAGTGAGATCAAAATTCAGGCCTTATCACTTTCTGTATGAAGCTAAGATTAGAAAGACATACTCCTACTTGGTTGATACTGCTATTCCCGACTTTGTGATTCCCGTGCAAGCCTGTACCTATGATGGCAAAATGAGCATGTACAGCCATGGTATAACATCAGATCATGTCAAATGTCATGTCAGAGAATGGAATATACCATAAAAATAGCCGAAGCAATGGAGGAGGGGACTCAAACTCTTTGTGTGTGTTTTTAAAACAGACATAATAGAATGTCAAGATACAAGGTTTGTCTCCTTGGTAACAAGGATCAGGTTTCGGAACTGAGTTTGGATGACTGCATGATACTTGAAAATATAATATCCTCTTATTAAAGCACTCTTCAGACAAACATCACTGCTTTAAAAATTGCATTAGGATCAAATATTATTATAACTATTTCTTTTGTTGAGAAAAAGGGACAGCATCTCTTTAGCGAATAGTACGCAGACATTAGACATGCAAACACAGAAGAAAAGAGATAATTAAAACAAGGTTTATATAGAGTTTTCCATTCCATTGGTGCCGAATCTTGCTAAAATTGTTATATGGTCACAAACTGGACAAAAGAGCTGATAATAATTATGAAATGAAAGATTCACACACCCTCTTTTGGACTAAATCTTTGTTTTTGAAGTAAATATAACATTTTCAAGTGCGCTGATTCGGTTTAATTTGACTTTATTTTTTAAAAGTCCAAATGTTATATTTAATTTGAAAATATTTGATTTTTTATTTCCATGTTCTCCACATTTGCCAAAAATTTTTGAAAGAAAGAAAGAAAGAAAGAAAGAAAGAAAGAAAGAAAGAAAGAAAGAAAGAAAGAAAGAAAGAAAGAAAGAAAGAAAGAAAGAAAGAAAGAAAGAAAGAAAGAAAGAAAGAAAGAAAGAAAGAAAGAAAGAAAGAAAGAAAGAAAGAAAGAAAGAAAGAAAGAAAGAAAGAAAGAAAGAAAGAAAGAAAGAAAGAAAGAAAGAAAGAAAGAAAGAAAGAAAGAAAGAAAGAAAGAAAGAAAGAAAGAAAGAAAGAAAGAAAGAAAGAAAGAAAGAAAGAAAGAAAGAAAGAAAGAAAGAAAGAAAGAAAGAAAGAAAGAAAGAAAGAAAGAAAGAAAGAAAGAAAGAAAGAAAGAAAGAAAGAAAGAAAGAAAGAAAGAAAGAAAGAAAGAAAGAAAGAAAGAAAGAAAGAAAGAAAGAAAGAAAGAAAGAAAGAAAGAAAGAAAGAAAGAAAGAAAGAAAGAAAGAAAGAAAGAAAGAAAGAAAGAAAGAAAGAAAGAAAGAAAGAAAGAAAGAAAGAAAGAAAGAAAGAAAGAAAGAAAACCCTCATTTCTAACCATCTTTTTCTTCTGTGTGATGAAGCTTGGATGGGTATCTTCGGCAGATACGCCATTTACCAAGACGCTTGAAGAAATTCTCCTCTTCATCTCGCCCATTCTCCAGGCCAGCTCCTGGTCCACCTTCTGACAGCTTCACTGCACTAGTGAATTTCACCTGAACAAGTGAGGACATAAGATTCATGTTCTGATGTGCTATGATTTCTCTACCAACTTTGCCTTAGCAATGCCATACGTAAGGACAGGCAGTGGTGTGATGCATTACTATAGCAACACATCTGGAACTGTGCCCCTTTGCACCAGCTGAAGATATTCTATAAAGTGTCTAGGTAACAATTCCCCTTCTTTCACACAGATTTCATCCACATATGACTGAGGGAAGAACTAGTATGATCAACTAGTAAAATACATTAAGTATATTCAGAGGACCTAGATACCTCCTTGAAAAGAATTAGTAGGAGAAACGATAAGGTAATTACATTGACACTTCATTCCTGTGACACTGTTTATATGGAGGGCTAAAGAAGGCACGATGGCAAATCCCTAGATAGCCTATGACTAAAATGAAGCATGGTGCACATTTAACCCAGTTCTCTTCTCCAGAAGGAAATCTTAAGATGCTATTAGGGATGTAAAATTCCGATTAGCCACTCAACCAGTTAAACATTAGGTTAATCTAACGTTTAACTGGTTAACCGATTAAGTGGGATTCCAGGAGGGGGACTGCTCCAGCCCAGCTGAAGCAGCCCCTAGCTCAAAGGGCTCCTGCTTCCAGCCCTGTTCACATCCTTAGATGCTACTGGATATGACAGTTATTACATGCACGTTCCCCCTTTTCATTGCTACAGTAACACCATTTTGCTGCCACCCTTATTGACTCTATCAAACTGCCTCACCACTTTTAGCCTTCCAAATCACATGCATCCTCACAAAACTGCTTTCAGGAGTTCCCTGATTTTTCCAAAGTTGCTTTTCAAGTGAATTTCTAGTGTGTCCTATACTACAGCACCACACACCACTTAGAAAAACACTGAAGGAGAATCATTACTGTCCAATTATGGACTTTCTCCACTCTGCTCCTCCCTCTTCTCAAAGGAAGAGGAAAAGTCACCTGAGACTTTTAACCTTTTTCCTTGAGGGAGCACCAGTCTTACTTTATGTTTAAGGGACAAATCCTGCTGCCTCCACCCTGGTGGGCTTATGCTGGCTAGATTTTGGGATGGAGCCGGATTTAGGAGGTCTGCACAAGGGAGAGCAACCTGATAGGGCACAGAGGGTAGCTTCACTGGGTCTCTGTGCATGGAAGCATGCAGGGCAGGGAGGAGAGTGGGTGATTCCCACCACTGGGTGGGATTGCTGGCTTTTCACTTCCGTGAGGGTTGGGGTTGATGAATGCTAGGATCAAAGAACCAAAGACTTTCATTCAGAACAGCTTCCAAGGAGCAGCTGTGCTACCACTCCATAGCCCAGGGGAAGAATGTCCTCCCTCCCAGTGTTCAGCATAATATCTTGGCTAGAGGAGAAGGATTAGATATGTTCCTAAATATGGAAAGACAGATGCCTCCTAGCTTTCGCAGATACAGAGCTGTACCACTGTGGGCACTTTACTGAAAGTCCCAGCTGATAAGGGTTTTGTCCATGGGTCCCATCAGGTGCAATATGCATGCTGATCACAGTATTTTCTCTGGGACCTGAAGTGATCTATGAAGTATGGATGTGAGTGACTACCCAATAAACATATGCTTATTGGGTAGTCGACTAGTCGCTTCCCCCCACCTTTCTGCCTCTATCAGAGAGAGGCAGCTAGGGGGGAGCAGGAGCTGGTGCTGGGGGGAGCTGGCTTAAAAGCTGGTTACCCCCAGCACTGTCTCGGGGAAGAGGGGGCAGGGAGGCAGAGGCAGAGCGGGGGAACCAGATGTAAGCCAGAAATCAATAGATTCCCAGCTCGGGCCCAGTCCCAGATGCCGCGCCTCTGCTTTTTAAATGTTTTAAGAGCTGCCAGGTTCTCAATACATTTAAAAGATAGGGACGCAGCAGGGGGGACTGGGAGCAAGCCGGGACAGCGGATTCCCAGCTCGTGCCCAGTCCCTGCTACGCCTCTGCCTTTTAAATGTATTAAGAACCTGAGAGCCTTAATATATCTAAAACACAGAGCCACAGCAGGGTTAGTTCCCAGGGCCAGGAGCTAACCCCACTGCAGCTCTGCATTCCCCCCCTCCCCCCGTGGTCTACTCAATTAGCTGATTAAACACAATTTAACATCCCTGCTATGACGTAGCCAGATCCTAACCCTTTATCTTTTCTACTAATCTGAAATGATACATTTACCTTGGAACTCTGCCTGATGAAAGACAGACGATCTACAGAGCTGATATCCAGGAGGTCTTCCACCCCGTCGGCCAGCCCAGACAGGGAAGAACGTTTCAGCCAGTTCCCTGATGCAGATAAAGCCAGTCAGGACAAATCTGAAATTGCTCCAAGCTGCATATATTAGTAATAGAGACTTATTTCTCTACAGCACTGAACCAATCATACTGTGACATGAGAAACGGGTGAAGGATGAGGCTTGTTCTTGCTACATGCATCAAAGATCATAGTTTAATTCTCAACATGTGAGGCTGAGTTTTCGGATGGTAAAAGTTGAAATATCAGGAAGAGTCAGTAAGAAAGGATATTCATTCTTCCTTTCTTACTGAAGTCTGCTTAGTAAGCTTCTCTTAGGGTATGTCTACACTACAGCACTAATTCGAACTAACTTAGTTCGAATAAGTTAATTCGAACTAAGCTAATTCGAATTAGCGCATCTAGACTTAAAAACTAGTTCGAATTAGCGTTTTGCTAACTCGAACTAGCATGTCCACACTGAGTGGACTCTGAACTGAGGTTAAGGATGGCCGGAAGCAGTGCCAGCAGGGCATCAGATTAGGACTTGGAGTGTGGAGCTGCTGTCTCAGGCTAGCCGAGGGCTGTGCTTAAAGGGACCCGACCCCCACCCTGGACAGACAGTTCTCAGGGGTGCTCCGCTTGCAAAGCAGTCCTGGCTTGGAGTGCCCTGAGTGCCCACACTTGGCACATCACAGCACTCGGGGGGCAGAAGAGTTTCCCTGGTGGTGCCCAGAGTGGTCACCAGGGAAAGCTGGGGAGGGCTAGCCTCCCACTAGTTCGAAGTAAGTGTTTACACATCCCTTAATTCGAACTACTTAATTCGAACTAGGCGTTAGTCCTTGTAGAATGAGGTTTACCTAGTTCGAATTAAGCGCACCGCTAGTTCGAATTAAGTTCGAACTAGCGGTTTGCATGTGTAGCGCCTATCAAAGTTAATTCGAACTAACGTCTGTTAGTTCGAATTAACTTTGTAGTGTAGACATACCCTTAGAGAGGAAGGAAGGTCCAGTGATGGTTCTAGTTTAGAATTTGGGAGCACTGGATTAAAGTCCCTGTTCCAACACTGTCTCTCCTGTGTGGCCCTTGGGCACGCCTGTAAAATGAAGATAACAGCACTTCCCTACTTCAAGAAGTCTGCAATGAGAATAAATATACTGAAGATTGAAAGGCACTCAGATTTTACATGTCTTTGCAATACAATATCCAACACACACACACACACACAGAACAGATCTATTATCTTTGCACATGTAGTATAATATAATAAAGGGACATACATTTACCTATGGGGAGTTTGAGTTTCTTTCGGAGCGAGATCCGTCGAGAACGGGAGCGGGAGCGCCTGTCGGTGGTTGTTCCAGAGTGAGCAGTGGTGCACTCAGATGTGTCCTGCTCTGACTGGCTGCTGGTATCACTTGCTGCACTCTGTGACTTGAACATCTTCCGCCAGAAGTCTTTGCGTCCCAGAACTGCCCCTTGCATCTGTTCATCGCTGAAAGAGAACCCAACACAAGGGTAACAATTCCTCACTGTGGTTTGTATGCTGCTAAGCACATTTGAACAAGTTTCTCCTCTTCTTTTACCTCTCTTTGTTCCTTGGCACTTGTTACTCTAAAAATGTAAATGTATTCTTCTTGATGTAATTTCTTAAGTCAGAGAGAGTATATCTACACTACAAAGTTAATTCGAACTAACAGACGTTAGTTCGAATTAACTTTGATAGGCGCTACACATAGAAACCACAAGTTCGAACTTAATTCGAACTAGCGGTGCGCTTAATTTGAACTAGGTAAACCTCATTCTACAAGGACTAACGCCTAGTTCGAATTAAGTAGTTCGAATTAAGGGATGTGTAAACACTTACTTCGAACTAGTGGGAGGCTAGCCCTCCCTAGCGTTCCCTGGTGGCCACTTTGGGCACCACCAAGGAAACTCGTATGCCCCCCTCCCGGCCCCGGAGCCCTTAAAGGGGCACGGGCTGGCTACGGTGCCCGTTCCAGGTGCAAGCCTGCCAGCACCCAGCCAGCAGATCCTGCACCTGGCACGGATCGAGCCACCCACCCCAA